GTTGGTCCTTGGCTGGTCCTTGGCTGGCCCTTGGCTCATCCTTGGCTGGTCCTTGGCTGATCCTTGGCTGGTCCTTGGCTGATCCTTGGCTGGTCCTTGGCTCATCCTTGGCTGATCCTTAGCTGATCCTTGGCTGGTCATTGGCTGATCCTTGGCTAGACCTGACCTGGTCATTGGATGGTTCTTGGCTGGTCCTTGGCTGGTCATTGGATGGTCCCCTTCAATTCCTTTTTAAACATCAATCTTTGCACTTAAATATTCAGTCATGATTTGTGGACATTAAGATCTAAAGAGAAGCGTCATCTCCTGGCCAGACCCTGTGAAAGGGTGGAGTCAGAGTAAAAAATATGCTCACCCAGGAGTAGGCCAGTGGCTGGAAGTTGGAGGGGATTTTGCTGGGAGTTGCAGGGAAGTGGGCAGCCATTCGGCTGGCGTTTGACTGGGAAGGGGCATTTTGAATGGCTGCTACTGTAAAAGCATTTAAACCTTTCTTTTTTATCCTTCTGTTCCTGATCTGTACAGGAAATGGGATCCTACGCTACTTCCTGGAGCTAACTTTATCAGCTTTGGGTTTAAACATGAATCTAGTCTTTTTGAGTTTTATTTTTTCCATTCCTGTTAACATCATGGTATGTAGTGCATAATCTAAAAAAAGAAAAGACTAAAATACAGATAAACATGGTTTATTCATATACAGACTGCTCTGAGCATGTCCCATGATGACGTCAGAGAGGCTGGTTAACGGAGAAAATGTAAAACGCATTAAAATTGCCTCAGAAACGTCATCAAACATTTTTTAAAAATGTGCATTAGCATTAAGAAATAAGTTTTTTTAGTACCATAATTACATTATTTATGGAAAGCTGGATGTATATCTGGTTTTGCAAATGAGCTGATGGTACGGATCGGGTAGAGACAGTTTGCATGGACAACTTTTAAGCAGAGTCTGTAGGTTTCTGTGCCCCAAGCTAGAAATACGTCACTAATTCTGACAACAAATTTACTCATTAAACATTAAATATTTATCTTGTACATCTAAAAAATATATGACAATATTTTAAAATAATTCAATATTATTACTTTTTTTAAAATTATGTCTTAATCAAGGTCATTGGATAAGTGGAGTGGCGTCTTCTATTGGCCAGCTGCCAGTGATATATATATATATATATTTTTTTTTTTTTTTTTTTTCCACAGATAAACTTTACTAGACGTCGAACTTTGTTCCTGCAGTAAATAGCTTGAATTTCCCCAGTGAGAGGCAATAAAGGTTTTTATTAGGTTCTATAAGTGCTTGATCGCTCTATCAATAACTAGATGTTTAATATAAGTTACATTTATTTCGTACCTTTTTTCTGTCTTTTTTTTTCTTTTTTAATTCAGTCAGCATGACACCAAGCGGAAACCTAATTTTCTCCTGGCTGAGGTGGATTTTAGGAACAATGTTCTCAAGACGAAGCTGTCTGTTAGCTCTGAGTGTCTCAGAGTGCTCCAAATGAGACACCAGACGTCTGAGAGAACCGTAGAAAAGCCTAGAGGTGGATGTTATCAGTGCAGGTACCATGATGATGATGGCTTATGTTCTCTGGAACCTTCTGCTAAATGCTGCTTAACTCTCAGGCTCTGGAGTGTTGCAGCAGACTTTTCCTCCCTGTGTTCTGCTATGGTCGGTCATCTCACCGTCGGCATTCATCTTCTTGAATGTCTGAAGACTGTAGATCCACACTGAGCAGAATGAGGACCACCAACCTGTCAGGGGTTAGTGCTGACTGCTGCACTGAGGAGACTCTTTGCAATGCCATAAACATGGCGGACAGAGTGAAAGGCTGATATCTACCTGAGTAATGGTGATTCCACTGCTGGGGGTTAATGACAGCTTGGCTCATTCCTTCATGGAGGACAGTGTTTCTGAGGAAGCCCCTAATCTCTCTAAAACTATGGCGTCTACCTCAGTCTGTCAGTCTACCCTCTAGATTAAAATGTCTCTAATTAGGGTGAAATTAAATGGAGATGTCTGTGGAGGATTGAAACTAACAGAAATAAAAAAAAAGGAAATAAAATTAAGTAAACTTTATCTTATATGTTGGATGTAAAAGGTCCAAATAATATATAAATCAGACAGAATGGAAAATACTGAAAATATGATTATATATATGAAGTATGATTATGAAAATAAAATGCACAATTTATTTTTAATAATGTTAAATAAAGCTATTTCTATTTCTTCCAATAATTAGTCAATTCTAAGTGGCGTGCATTGCTTTATTTGTAAGGACATTTATAAATATTATATATTTCACTTTCATAGCTTTCAGCCTCTTGTAGAAAACTAGATGACGAAAGTTAAAACAGTAAACCAGAAATTATATTTATCTTTATGTTTAATAAACTAGCGTGTGTGCTTCTATTTTTATGTTAATTTGCTAATGATAAAAATGGATTTTAGTGTTGAGGGTGAAAAAATAAAAAAAGATTTGACACCAAAAACAAACACGGAAAGGGCTCATACTGATTTTCTTATTTATGTGTAACTCTGGATCTAGATCCGGTTTTCTTAACCCTGAACCTCAGGGTCTCTGAAACACACCTGATTCAAATCATTGCTTTACCTCCTCATTAAGGCTGCAGAAGCCTGTAAATCACCTTTTTATTCAGGTCAGGTGTGTGGAAGCAGGGAAGCACCTAAAACAAGTAGGGCAGTGGGCTTTGAGGACCCTAAACTATGCAAATCCTGAAGGTTTTTACACCTTCTGTCTGTCTGGTCATTTTGCATAAGATGTTCTTTGATTATGAACTGCAGCAGCAGATTAGGTGGTTTCTTTTCCACCCTAATTGTCGCTTCAGTCCTGCTCCACCATTCATTTCACAGTAACACTAGCCTTAAATAGCTTTCAAGCTAAACAGGAGGGGTCTGTGCTGCTAAGCTAGCATGCTTCTCTGTTTCTGTCTGAGCTGATTAACCCGGTCCTGCCTTCACTCATACGGCAGCTGAAACAAACAGTCGAACCATTTAGAACTGCACTCCTGAGACAAATCTAAAAAGTGCGGCTGACCTACAGAACCACGTCTGAGAGAAAACATTTTGCGTTAGCTCGTTTTTTACTTCTCTGTATATTTTATGGCTTTTTATTACATTCCTCTGTAACAGTGTTGTAGAGTTAGCGTAGCATGTTGCACACCTCAGCATTTCCTCTGGCTGTACTTTACGTATTTTCAGATTTTAAAACCACCATGATTATTATGGTCTGGTGAAGCTGCAGGGGGCGGAGCTAATGAGCCTCTGCAACAGTTTGCAAACAGGGTTTCCAATAGAAAACTAGCTGAACCCAGTGGTAGGTGTCTCTAAGCACAGACCACAGGCATCCAACCAGGTTTCTGTTAAAGACTTTTTGAAAGTAAATATTTGCAATAATTATATAGTTAATGTATATTTAATGTTGACTCAATTGGAATTTGGAGCGCTTTAAACATCTTTAGGCTTGCTTTATAAGCAAAGCTCAAATGTTTTGATCAGAGTTTAGAATCAGATTTCAAACACTGACAGCAAAATCATTATAAATCATAATTAAACAGACTGAATGGAAAAATGTTCTTTTTTTTTTTTATTAAATGAGTTATCCTTTAATCATCTTCACAAATATGGTCGATCCCACCTATTTCCTTTACAATCTGATCGTGTATATTCCATGTTGTGGTTTAACCTGCTGAGGTTAATTCAATTCAATTCAATTCAGTTTATTTATATAGCACCAAATTCACAACACATGTCATCTCAAGGCACTTTACAGTTCAACCAGATCATACAGTGGTTACACTGGCAAACATCTCAGCTCTAGTTTTGGCAACATGTGGAGCTAAAATAGCTCATTAAAGACTTCTGTTATGATCTTTTACCGTTCGAGAACTAGAGGTGGGAATTATTAATCAGATAACAGGTAAATACAGGGTCAGTATCGCCCATATCGATACGATACCGATACTTTTTACATTTCAACTTAATGTAACATGGAACTGTTGAGCTTTCAGTTATTATTACAGTTGAACAATCATAATATTAATAATGTTCAGGTCAGAGTGTTTTTTTTTCCTTATCCACCGCTTATATTATATCTTTCAGTCCTTATGTAATTGTGTTTGCATTTTATGCACTTGCCTGTTGCTTTAACTCTATAAATATACACATTGTGAGCAGTGGTGACAAAAGTTCTCACAT